AGGACGTTTCAGCCTTTTTCTGTCAATTAATGACCTTGCTATTCCGAGCTAACCTGTCATTAGCGGTTAGCAAGACACATTTGCATAATTTTCCATGATTATGTAGTTTAAAATACAGTTTTTAATTTAAAAAAATATAATTTAGGGGTGTCACACCAAAGGACAACAAAACGTAACACTTTTGTAGTGGTTCCAAATAAATTAAATATTTGAACAGTTCTGAGGGAAAAATTTACCATCTGCTCATGTCTTGGGCTTCAGTAACATAATCATGAATGGGGTCCTTCAACTAATTTAATTTTTTTTCTGAAATTGGCCAGTTTAAAATCAGGGTATGGTGTCACACCAGAGGACATGGTTTTCAGAGACAAAATGTATCAAGTTCCTACGCTTTCACACACACACACACACACTATTGAATGTTGGGCAAACTAGCCTTTTAATATATAAAATACAGTTAGTGCCATTTGAAAAATAAACTAATATCACTAGTATAAACCAAAGACCCAACTGACAATATAATAATGCTACTGGTCAAAGTAAATAATTAAATTATTTTCCTACCAAAGGTGAAAAATAATACCTAACCTACATTCAGCGGTCGTTTAAACATCACATACTGCGTTTACCATGGTAAAACTGTAGTAAAGTGCTCAGGTTTATCAGTTACCTGCTGCTTCAGACTCCTGCATTAACCTGCTGCGGCCCGTCAAACACTCCACATGCAGGACCAAACTGTAAACACTCCAAATAAAGTGCTACTCTGAACTATTAACATAAACATAAAATACTAAACAAATAAATAACAGAAAACTTGTGAAGTTGGAAACATTTCTGAGCTTTGCCTCTCATTCAGTGTGAGGGAGGGTTCATGCGGCCAGCCGAAAACGCATACGGTAGTAAAACCTCACCTGATTGGCTGAAGAGCGACCCTGGGTGTGCTGCAGCGCGCTCTGATTGGTCTATTGACCAGCGCACGTACTACGGAAACGCTCGTGAGACAAGTGTCGTACACAAACGCGTTTCGAACGATTTCATTTAGAAAACACACTCAAAGTAGTGATTTAAAAGTTATCTTATCAAGTTTGACTCAATGAACGGTGTGTTTGGAAAGTTTTGACCTTTTGTTCATGCCCAACTAACAAGGCTTGTTTCCGCCACGGGATAGATAGATAGATAGATAAAAAGGTAAATGCCACTTTCTGTCTCACAATTCGGACTTTTTAAAAATATAAACTCACAATTCTGACGAGAAGTATATTGTGAGATATAAACTCACAGTTGCGAGCAATAAAGTCCCAATTGTAAAATAAAAAGTACCAATAACGTTTTAACTAACTTACCCCGTGGCGAAAAACTGGCTTAATAAGAAACATAAACCATAAGAAAACTAAATAAAATGTTCGTAAGGTTATATTTAGTTACCGTGCATAAAAACGTAGCCTAATATTTGTACTAATACTAAACACCTAACCTATAAGCTACAATATACACTCTCTTTTTATTTTAAAATGCACCAATGGTATAGATACGCAACAAAACACCGTGCATGAAAAATAAAAACATGAAATAGTTTTTGTTGCTTTGGAGTTTGAAGGGCCACTAAAATTTAGCCATAATTCATCTGCGCGATGACATACACAATCTCTTTTATCTCAAAACCTTCACAATCAGTACATTCAAGTCAAGTCGAGTAGCCTATGTGAACTTGTTCAATGCGAATTAATTGACTGAGACACACAGGAAGAAATGGAAATAAATATACATATATACATTGCTCATATAATAAACTATATGCAACATACTCTATAAACAAGTATATAAAAGTACTCAATGTAACAACTATATTTTACTTGTTTGATATGCGAGACACCGTCTGTTTATGGAAATAGATGGGCTGTGACGTCACGGCGAAGTCGCGCTCTGATTGGCTGAGGCGCGTGGCTGCAGAGTGTTTACCATCAGAGCTCAGAACTGGAGCTGCACGTACTAGCTCGAGCCACCGCCGAAGGAGGAAGTGCGTGGCCGAAAACACAGATTTATTTGTCCGTTTTCACTACTGCGTCGATAAAGGCACTCGCAACAGCTGTAGAAACTCTTTGTGTCCCTACTCTGAATCACTGGAACAGGTCAGTGGCGTTTACGTGGCGATTTTTCGTGTTATTTTGAACAAAGGAACGTGCCAAAGACAGTGACCAGGCCTGTTGAGTTCAGCTGTACTTGAGCTAATTGATCTAAAAAAAAACTCGTTTGTTCTCACTTTTGGTTGCATTTCACAGTTTCCTTGCGTTTTCCCTTTCAGCTCATGCGAAAACCTCACGATGAAAACCGAAGTCTCTACTGCTGCTAACTTTGTCACACGTCTGTTGAGAGGAAAAATAGTTTTTGTTGCTTTGGAGTTTGAAGGGCCACTAAAATTTAGCCATAATTCATCTGCGCGATGACATACACAATCTCTTTTATCTCAAAACCTTCACAATCAGTACATTCAAGTCAAGTCGAGTAGCCTATGTGAACTTGTTCAATGCGAATTAATTGACTGCGACACACAGGAAGAAATGGAAATAAATATACATATATACATTGCTCATATAATAAACTATATGCAACATACTCTATAAACAAGTTATATAAAAGTACTCAATGTAACAACTATATTTTACTTGTTTGATATGCGAGACACCGTCTGTTTATGGAAATAGATGGGCTGTGACGTCACGGCGAAGTCGCGCTCTGATTGGCTGAGGCGCGTGGCTGCAGAGTGTTTACTATCAGAGCTCAGAACTGGAGCTGCACGTACTAGCTCGAGCCACCGCCGAAGGAGGAAGTGCGTAGTCGAAAACACAGATTTATTTGTCCGTTTTCACTACTGCGTCGATAAAGGCACTCGCAACAGCTGTAGAAACTCTTTGTGTCCCTACTCTGAATCACTGGAACAGGTCAGTGGCGTTTACGTGGCGATTTTTCGTGTTATTTTGAACAAAGGAACGTGCCAAAGACAGTGACCAGGCCTGTTGAGTTCAGCTGTACTTGAGCTAATTGATCTAAAAAAAAAACTCGTTTGTTCTCACTTTTGGTTGCATTTCACAGTTTCCTTGCGTTTTCCCTTTCAGCTCATGCGAAAACCTCACGATGAAAACCGAAGTCTCTACTGCTGCTAACTTTGTCACACGTCTGTTGAGAGGAACGGGGCTGCTTTCAGAAGAACAACTGCAACAATTCAGATTCTCTTTGGAAGAATCTTTGGGGGGTAAGAAAGGATTGGATGTGATCTTTCCATTGTTTAGAAGTAAATTCAACCACATCGTGGTCCAAATTGTGTGGTTTATGATGAAATTGAACATTGTTTTGAACAGAGCAGATGAAGGTTTATTGCAGCATCAAAGTCCATTCACTGAAACTCGAACCATTTTGTGGCTTAAAGCACCAGAAACTTTAGCAAAGAATTGCAAACACCAAGTCCATGTTTCATTGCACCAAAGCCTAACTTAATTTTTTTTATTGCAGATCATTATCAGCACCATTGGTTCCCAAACGCACCCTACCGAGGTTCGGGTTACAGGTGTATTCGGATCAACCACAAGATGGACCCTTTGATAGGCAAAGCGGCCTGTACGATTGGACTCACAAAAGAGCAACTCTTTTCACTGCTGCCAAGTGAACTCACCATGTGGGTCGACCCTTATGAAGTGTCCTACCGGATCGGAGAGGACGGGTCCATATGCGTCCTCTACGAGTCTGTGCCTCCGTCGGACACAAACCAGGCGGACAGCTGCAAAGATGAACTGAGAATGGGACGGTCGAGTCCGTCCAAATCCTTAGGCATGATGACCTGCTCCAGCTGAAGAGCGATTTTGTGTAATTAGCTGCTCGTGGGCACAGTAAATCAGGCATTGCTCACGTTTGATTTCTTTTTAAACCTTGTTTTTTAAGACCGATTTTTTTTTTTTAATCAACGGTGAAATCTTATTGACCTCATGGTGAAAACAGATGTATTTTGATTAAATGTGTTTTAAGCTCCCTGTACAGTCATGTTGAATATGTTTTTTACATTTCTATTAAAAGTTTTCTATGAATTTCTTAAAAAAAGGCCTTTTGTGGTTATTCCGTGTAACTGTATTTGATACACCGATATAATCAAAACATAAGCCATACAAAGGTCTCTTTATACTTACTATGTGTTATCTTCATTTTTAATACTTTACAAGCAAGCACTTTACTATAGTTAGACAAGCTACAAATTTTGCATCTTAAAATCTATAAAAACTAATTTAATTTTCCTAAAGTATTATGTATATGGGATTTACATTAAATAATAAATGAATATTAATTACAATGAAATAGACATCAAGCATTGCATCTTTAAATCACATGTTCTTAACTGAATGAAAAAAAGTCCAGAACAATGACATTTCTGGATGTGAATCACAAAATAAAATGCATCAATATTAGAACTTACTTTTTGCCTGGCAATACTTTTTATGGATGATCTTAAATTAGATGGTTTTTAATTTTGCCTTTTCATTTCATTTTCTTAGTCTCCTTACATTTACATAAACATTTGAAATCGTGCATAGTCATAAATGTATTACTTTAGTAGTCACTTAATTATTTAAAAAGGTTTTATTGTCTTACTAGACCAAATACAACAAACTTCTGGCTCTAAAAATGTCTCTCACATATTATTGCTTTAGTTTTGGATTTTTACCTAATTTAAGCATTTTCTAATTGTTTGCCAGTACAAAAAGCCCCTACAATCCCAACCTATAAAAAATATTTTTAAGTTCTTTAAATGCAAATTATATACAATAATTATACTAATACGCACAAGGTACACAATTTAAAATATATTCTGGTAAAAATAAATATTTATTGATCTGCATTATTTATAACTTAAGAATCCAAAAATAAAGTTTTTCTGAGCAAATCATGTGCAAGCGAAAATAAAAGGAAAGAAAAACAGCAATCATGTGTTCATGACATAATTTTATAGATATAGTCTATAATTTTTCATATAAGGTATACATTTTGAAAAGTATTCAGGTAACAATAAATGTAACTTATTGTATGTACATTTACATATATAATTTTATTTTTGGATTAATACAATTATACTTATAAATCTTAAGTTTTTCTGTTGTTTTTCTCTGAGCAATCATGTGCAAGCGGACAGAAAAGGGAAGGAAAACAGCAATCATGAGTTCATGACATCATCTTACAGATGCCTTCAGTAGAGGACGACCATTTGATTGCCATTTTCAAAATCCAATCAGCGGACGAATTTAACAATGACAAAGAAATCTGGCCAATCAGAAACCGCAATCCCTGCGCCTGGCCAATGAGAGCGCAGAGGGGGCGTGTTCTCGCGAAAGCGGAATTGGCGCTACACCCGTCGGTGTGTCAGACGCGGATGCTCCAGAAGTTTTGCGCCTGACCCCGATCCTCTCGCCCGGAGTATCAAATCTGCGCCAAAACCCCCATCAGTTTACGGTTCTTCTGGGTTATGGAACTGGATAAAATGGACGAAAACGACTGGAAATATCACGGGGAGGGCAACAAGAGCCTGGTCGTGTCTCATTTGCAGGTTAGTGTTCAATAGTTACTAGCGTTTAGCTTAGCCAAGATTCATATAAACTCAATCAAATCGGAGTCAGTCAACAGGAAATCAAATCAAACTACTTGGAAAGGACCTAAACACAAAGTTTGGTCGCTTTATACCATCAGTAGACGGAAATAAACCTCTTCCTTGTCTTAAAAGGGTGTTGTCAGGGCTTTAAAGCTAATAGCCACCTAGCAGGCTAAACCAGGATTCATTGATAAAGTCAATGTACAACATGTGTGTTACTCATGCCACACCCACTTTATGAGCTCGAACGTTTATTAAACTATTTCAGTGGCATATATAGGATAAGTAACGCTGAGAGCCATTTGAATGAATGGTCAGTGGAGATGTTTAAGTTTCTGGATGGTTCTGAGCATCTAAAATTGGGTTTCTATTGGAGACAAGATTATGTACACTTAACATCTTCCCCATCTGGGCTTCAAAGTTCAGATTGGAAACCTTTAACAGCTCCCCCTTCATTGGGTGAAAGATAATGCGGGTTTAGACCGTTTTTAGAATCACTTTCTTTGGGAAAAAGTACAATTAGAGACTAAAAAGATTTTGGCCTATGAATTTTTAACAATGTAATATTGTTTTAAGGTATTACTTTGCTAGAACTTGGTCTAAGCACTCTTGTCTGAAACTCTCCTATATTTCGACAAAGGAGAGAAATTCTAAATGAAATCTATTGCATATAAGATCTGAGTCATAATTTATGTCTTAGCTATTCTAAGTAATGGAAACATTCATTTATCAGTTCGTTGTATCATGTAGTTGACTCCTTTTGTCACTAGGATGGCAATATCAAGGTCCTGTTTTGTTAAGACCAAGGATACGCAAACAGATGAACCTTTGTCTGATTTTCCAGTTCATTTGGGATCATCTGTACCATCACACGATAAATAAACTCAGAACAAGCTGCCGGAAAAACGTTTGGAGTCATAAACACGCTGGATTTATATTACAGACTACAACACGGAATTGTGCGTCCAATCACAGGAAGCTGCCTGAGACGACACTGGCCAATATGTTGATGTAATCGTGTCGAAACTGGGTTTGGGGAAAATGGGTGAAGCTTTGTTGCAGTTTTCCAACCAGTTTTAGAGTCCTGCAAGGGCTTGTCCGTCACTATTTGCTGTTTACTGACATTCTTTCACGCTCCCACACTCTTGTGTGGATTTTTGTCTTGTTGCCTGGTCTGGTTTTACATTCTTCGAGTATGAGCTGGACCACATCGTCTTGATCAAATCAGTCTGAATGAGTTAGGTATCGTATAAAACCATTTGTAAAGGCATTTCGAATGCACACTGACATATGAATGGGGTGAATTTCACAAAATACTACAGGAAATTCTTGCAATTTTTTAATTGCAATAAGTAATATTTTCTAATGTCTAATTGTATTTAACAATTTTTAATTAAGTTTTATTATTACAAAAATAATTGTCTGGACAGGATGGTTTTCATTGTTGTATTATAGTTGGGTTATTATTATAGTTAATTAAAACAGTAAAAAAAACATTTTTGCTATTTGAAATAAACTTAAACTCAAAAAATAATAATATATGGAAAACTTAAGTTTATTTTTAAGCTTATTTCAGCTTGTTGCTAGCTAACATTTCTAATGTTCTTTTAATTAAAATGTAAGTGCTAAAATAACTAAAACTGGAGTCAAAATTAATAGAAACTATATAGACATTTTACAAAAACTACTAAAAATAACAAAAACACAAAGTTACTAAAATGAAAGATAAATATTAAAAATTGATTTAAAAATAAAACAATCTTGGATGAGAATTAAGTTTATTTTTTTTAGATTTAAAGAAATTGCACTTGATTGTTCTAAAAATGTGTACAATAATTTATTTTCTTGATATATTTGATGTGAATTATAAGTCATTTACTTATGAGCTTCATCCTTTTTTGTTTAACATTTTGTGAGGCAGAAGTAGGTTTTGTAAGCGTTTAGAAACTGCATTAGCGTTTAAGCGGCCATCGGTTGCATCAGTTCATAAAACAAGCCGCCAGACACATGATTATGTCACCTTTACATTTGTGGACCTTTTTATGTCTAAGAGCATTCTGGGAAAAACGTAATGTGTATTCAGTTTACAGCTGAGTGGATGGAGTATTTGTTGTACACACAGGCAAACCCATTTCAAAGAATTCCCTTTTGAACTAAAATAAGACAAGGATACATACAGCTTTCAAAGTCTGTGTGAAATGACTCGTGTGATTTCTGTTTTTAAACGCATCACTTCCTATTACAGCACTGTAAAGTTCTTCGTCTGCTGAAGTTTCCCTCCGAAGACTCTGCACATACACGACAGGTAAAACTTCCCCAAATCGACACCACTGAACATTATTACTTCCCAAATTTCTCCGATATGCACTATATTACCTTTTGCACTGTGTTACCTTTTCTTACACTATGAAAGATACCATACTATTAGGGGCCGTTTACACGACAATGTTTTCAGCCAAAAACGGTTAACTTTTTATGTGTTTTGCCTGTTCGTTTACACGACAACGGCGTTTTGGGGACTGACAACGCATATTTTTGAAAACGGGTTTCAAAGTGCAAGTTTTTTTTTAAAAACCGCCACCATTATCGTTTCTGTGCAAACACCCAAAACGTGAATCTTTAAAAAAAACGGTGACGTCATGCGCGTGCGTAGTACGTGTTAGGTGTCGATTTTAAAGCAAGCGCGAACAAACATCCACAACAATGGCGGAGTACATGGTACTGTTGTTGCTGCTCAAGAGTTTGCTAACGCTTCTTCCATCTGGGCTTCAAAGTTCAGATTGGAAACCTTTAACAGCTCCCCCTTCATTGGGTGAAAGATAATGCGGGTTTAGACCGTTTTTAGAATCACTTTCTTTGGGAAAAAGTACAATTAGAGACTAAAAAGATTTTGGCCTATGAATTTTTAACAATGTAATATTGTTTTAAGGTATTACTTTGCTAGAACTTGGTCTAAGCACTCTTGTCTGAAACTCTCCTATATTTCGACAAAGGAGAGAAATTCTAAATGAAATCTATTGCATATAAGATCTGAGTCATAATTTATGTCTTAGCTATTCTAAGTAATGGAAACATTCATTTATCAGTTCGTTGTATCATGTAGTTGACTCCTTTTGTCACTAGGATGGCAATATCAAGGTCCTGTTTTGTTAAGACCAAGGATACGCAAACAGATGAACCTTTGTCTGATTTTCCAGTTCATTTGGGATCATCTGTACCATCACACGATAAATAAACTCAGAACAAGCTGCCGGAAAAACGTTTGGAGTCATAAACACGCTGGATTTATATTACAGACTACAACACGGAATTGTGCGTCCAATCACAGGAAGCTGCCTGAGACGACACTGGCCAATATGTTGATGTAATCGTGTCGAAACTGGGTTTGGGGAAAATGGGTGAAGCTTTGTTGCAGTTTTCCAACCAGTTTTAGAGTCCTGCAAGGGCTTGTCCGTCACTATTTGCTGTTTACTGACATTCTTTCACGCTCCCACACTCTTGTGTGGATTTTTGTCTTGTTGCCTGGTCTGGTTTTACATTCTTCGAGTATGAGCTGGACCACATCGTCTTGATCAAATCAGTCTGAATGAGTTAGGTATCGTATAAAACCATTTGTAAAGGCATTTCGAATGCACACTGACATATGAATGGGGTGAATTTCACAAAATACTACAGGAAATTCTTGCAATTTTTTAATTGCAATAAGTAATATTTTCTAATGTCTAATTGTATTTAACAATTTTTAATTAAGTTTTATTATTACAAAAATAATTGTCTGGACAGGATGGTTTTCATTGTTGTATTATAGTTGGGTTATTATTATAGTTAATTAAAACAGTAAAAAAAACATTTTTGCTATTTGAAATAAACTTAAACTCAAAAAATAATAATATATGGAAAACTTAAGTTTATTTTTAAGCTTATTTCAGCTTGTTGCTAGCTAACATTTCTAATGTTCTTTTAATTAAAATGTAAGTGCTAAAATAACTAAAACTGGAGTCAAAATTAATAGAAACTATATAGACATTTTACAAAAACTACTAAAAATAACAAAAACACAAAGTTACTAAAATGAAAGATAAATATTAAAAATTGATTTAAAAATAAAACAATCTTGGATGAGAATTAAGTTTATTTTTTTTAGATTTAAAGAAATTGCACTTGATTGTTCTAAAAATGTGTACAATAATTTATTTTCTTGATATATTTGATGTGAATTATAAGTCATTTACTTATGAGCTTCATCCTTTTTTGTTTAACATTTTGTGAGGCAGAAGTAGGTTTTGTAAGCGTTTAGAAACTGCATTAGCGTTTAAGCGGCCATCGGTTGCATCAGTTCATAAAACAAGCCGCCAGACACATGATTATGTCACCTTTACATTTGTGGACCTTTTTATGTCTAAGAGCATTCTGGGAAAAACGTAATGTGTATTCAGTTTACAGCTGAGTGGATGGAGTATTTGTTGTACACACAGGCAAACCCATTTCAAAGAATTCCCTTTTGAACTAAAATAAGACAAGGATACATACAGCTTTCAAAGTCTGTGTGAAATGACTCGTGTGATTTCTGTTTTTAAACGCATCACTTCCTATTACAGCACTGTAAAGTTCTTCGTCTGCTGAAGTTTCCCTCCGAAGACTCTGCACATACACGACAGGTAAAACTTCCCCAAATCGACACCACTGAACATTATTACTTCCCAAATTTCTCCGATATGCACTATATTACCTTTTGCACTGTGTTACCTTTTCTTACACTATGAAAGATACCATACTATTAGGGGCCGTTTACACGACAATGTTTTCAGCCAAAAACGGTTAACTTTTTATGTGTTTTGCCTGTTCGTTTACACGACAACGGCGTTTTGGGGACTGACAACGCATATTTTTGAAAACGGGTTTCAAAGTGCAAGTTTTTTTTTAAAAACCGCCACCATTATCGTTTCTGTGCAAACACCCAAAACGTGAATCTTTAAAAAAAACGGTGACGTCATGCGCGTGCGTAGTACGTGTTAGGTGTCGATTTTAAAGCAAGCGCGAACAAACATCCACAACAATGGCGGAGTACATGGTACTGTTGTTGCTGCTTAAGAGTTTGCTAAGGCTTCTTCAGCAGAGTGTGGATTTACCTCACCAATATTACTACCAACTGCGGAGACGCATATACGTCATATAATCTTAACTTCCCTACAGGTACTGTTTACTAACAAAGTGACAGCGCCAACTACTGGCCTGTCATATGTAATACAGCGTTTTTGGCCGTTTTCATGAGAAGGGTATAACTACAGCCTGGAGATCTCCAAATGGGGGCGGGAACTCCAAAACGGGGTGGGAGCTCCAAAATAGGGCGTGGCTTCCTCCCATTGACAGGCAGGCACATGACACGCATGCGCAATTTTTCCCCCAATCCACTTCAATGCAAACTCCGCCCCACAGCTGATTCTAAAGATTTTAATGGTTGTCAATTAAAGGTTGATTTCCTACACTATTCCCCCTCCTACCCTGCGAATTTCGAGCCCCGGGACGCCCCCGTTGCTTGGAACAAAGCGATAGAAATCTTTCCCCTGCGATGGGATGGCTCGCGTGAGAGCTCATGGGTGATTCCCGTTTATATCATCAAATTCCAGTCCGAACACCACTGGCCACGAGTTTTGGGCTCTGTTCTCACAGAGAATATTTACTTGTATAGCATATTTCATTTCAGATGAACTAGAAACAATGTTTAATTTATAAAGTTTTATTTTGAAATGTAAGTCAATAACAATTGGCTGGAGCCAGAGCCAATGGTGAAAGTCTTTGCGCGAGGAGACCCCGCCCCATTTTGGAGGTTCTGCCCACTTTTGGAGTTCACGCCCCATTTTGGAGATCTCCGGTCTGCAGTTATATCTACTTGGTTTTCGTGGATATGTGTAAACTTGAATCGTTTTGAAAACGTTGTCGTGTATACATGAAACATTTTAAAAGTGCAAGGGAAAAACATTTTCCGTTTTTGGCTACATCGTTGTCGTGTAAATGTAGCCTTAGAAGCCAGCTAGAGAACTATAACACGAAAATGGCTACAGGCTAAACCTCCGACAAAGATTTATTGGATGCATATTGTGACCAATATTCAAAACATGGAGAGAAAGACATTCATTAAGTCTACAGATGGATAAATATTTGCAATACTTGGAAAAATGGATTGTGTTTGACTCACCATTGTATGATTTGCCATATTTCTATCAATGTAACTCAAGTATTGATGCACAAATGATTGTTCTATCAAGTTCTGTTGACGTAAATAGTCACTTTCAATTTTAGCATAGTTTTGTCAACAATTTCCACAATGTTTAAGGTTAAACATAATATTTCTGTGTGTGTTTTCTTGCACTGTATTGTAAGTTATTTGTGTCTCTTGCTATGAAAAGTATCTGCAACAGTGTAAATGCAAATATGCTTCAATTGTTTGGTCTTGGTCTGTTTGCATTGACATACGGCGTAGTGTCAGCTCATTTTCCTACCTCTTTCCTGCCAGACCGCAGAACAAGCTTTTCGACACATCCCCAACATTGTGGATTATAGTAAATATGTCATGAAGCCTTTACTGGGGGAGAAATACGTTCACAGTGGAGTAAGTCAGTTTAAGACGTATATGTACAATATTACATTGTATTGCTTTAACACAAGCCGTGGCCCAGAGAATGAGATGAAAATAATGGCTTGAATGTTCACAGGAGGTTGTTAAACTACCACTGGACTTTGTGAGACAGCTGTCGCTAAAGGTCCAACAAGAACGACCTGGTAAGAATGATTCTTTTTTTGCTTCAATTAAGTTTTTTTGCAGTGACATTGTAATGCCCCCCAAAAACCAACAGTGTTATGATAGTATTTGTTGTATTTTGATTGCAAAATCCTTGTATTACAGTAATTTCAACATTGAGATGAATAGATATTACTAAAAACCTCAAAAGTAAAATGTACTTGTCCATTATGGTAATGACAATTTATAGGAAAAATGTCCTAGATGGGCTTAATTTTCGTTATGCAAAAATCAATAATTTTTTCCAGAGATTCATCCCCAAAAAAATGCAGTCGGTTGTTCATCTAAACATGTTTATGTGAGATGCAGTCACTTTTGTAGACCGGATTTGATGTTGCGTGACGGTGTTGTGATCTTTCCTTCACGCAGAACTGCGCTGTGATAAGGTCATGGACACATTCAGCGGGTGTGGTTTATGCCTTCCCAACCTGACCCAACTTCCCCTCCACCACCTCAGAGACCACAGTCCTCCAATCTGCGTTGAGATTAAGGTGAACTCCATGTTCGGTTTGACATGGTCTCAACACGTCACTTCTGTTGTGATCGTGTTGGTGGGGGAATTTGCACATGCAGTTGCCATGTTTACCATTTAATCATTGGTTTTGAGCGCAAGGTTGTGCAAACTACCACAATCTGGCATAATTTACCATTTACCACTCATTTAAATGCAAAAATTGAGCTCAACCATATGTTGTGTTTAGATGTACAGTGGGTACGGAAAGTATTCAGACCCTTTGCTGTGACACTCATATATTTAACTCAGGTGATACTGAGCATGTGATATTTCAGTTTTTTTTTTTTAATAAATCTGCAAAAATGTCAACAATTCTGTGTTTTTCTGTCAATATGGGGTGCTGTGTGTACATTAATGAGGAAAAAAAATTAACTTAAATGATTTTAGCAAATGGCTGCAATATAACAAAGAGTGAAAAATTTAAGGGGGTCTGAATACTTTCCGTACCCACTGTATGTCTGGTTTAAAGGAATAGTTCACCAAAAACTGAAAATATGCTGAAAACATATTCACCCTCAGGCCATTCAAGATGTAGAAGTTTAGCATTACATCACTTGCTCAGCAATGTATCCTCTGCAGTGAATGGGTGCCGTCAGAATGGGAGTCCAAACAGCTGATAAAAACATCACAATAATCCACAAGTAATCTCCAGTCCATCAATTAACATCTTGTTAAGTGAAAAGCTGTGTGTTTGTAAGAAATGGATCATTAAGACATTTTAAAGGGTTAGTTCACCCAAAAATGAAAATTCTATCGTTAATTACTTTCCCCATGTCGTTTCAAACCCGTAAGACCTCCATTCATCTTCGGAACAAAAATTAAGATATTTTTGATGGAATGTGAGAGCTTTCTGACCCTCCCATAGATGGCAATGTAATTACCACGATCAAGGTCCAGAAACGTAGCAAGGAGATCGGTAAAATAGTCCATGTGACATCAGTGGTTCAAACGTAATTTTACGAAGCTACGAGCATACTTTTTGTACGCAAAGAAAACAAAAATAACGACTTTATTCAACAATTCGTCTCCTCCGCGTCGCCCTAGTGCCATTTTGGAGAATATACCCGCTGAACGTAAACAGCGTATGCTATTCTGTGTCAGCTGCGTCGCACGGATGCGTTGTTTTCGTTCAAATAACCGCGTGACGCAGCTGACACAGAATAGCATACGCCGTTTACGTGTAATTTACACGTAAACAGCATATTTTTTTTTCTCAAAATTATGGCAGTGACAGAATTGTTATACCCACGTTTCCAAAACATTGACTTTCGAAACTGTATGCAAGTGTGCCAAGAACCTCGCCTTGAATGCGTTGACTTTGGTGTCACATGTCTGGTCATTGAACTTGCTGACAGTTGTTAATACGTTTTACTGTATCTTCATGGCGTTAGGGAGTAAACGCTCTTGGGTTGGATTAGTGACAGTTGTTAAACTGCAAGATCTGAGTCTCATAACACAGAACTGTTTTTTAGGGGTTAGTATGAATGTCTGTTCTTGGGGAAGTAGACCACAGTAACTGAATGACTCGTTGAATCTATTTGTGTGGAATTTAATCACATGGTCAGTCAAACAAACAGAGGGAGGTGGTGTGAATCTGATCTGAAAGGCTTGTTTGTCTTCATAAATACAACTAAACTTCTTTATATAAAGCTTATTCACAACACTTCATTGTGTAACTCAAGATACAAAGATACAATTACATATTTTTTCCTTTTCCCCCCCTAGCCAAAATGTGGATTTCTACCCTTTTCAAGGCACATAACCAAGGAATGCAAGCGCAAAGTTTGCAGATTCTGCATGCATCAGCATTACAAGGCAAGTACCAATTGAAAATCTAGTCGTTGCCAAACTTTTAAACCAGATTTATTAAAGCTAACTTCTGCTTTAACACAAAAAAGAGGATGGTGCAAGATGAGCTTATGTTGCTGAAAATACAAGAATCAGTTTCAATCCCAAAGTTTCATCATGAAGCGACACGTTTTGTTCTTTACAGTTAGCCAATGGGAAGTGGAAGCGATTGAGCAGATATTGCCCTCTGGATCTCTTCTCAGGGTGAGTTACTGCTTCAGTCACTCAATGCAGGAAAACAGAGCTGGATTTATATCTTTCGCTGATGGTACGACCTTTAGCCAGTATTGTTAACAAACCTAACTGACTGCGGCAAAGACATTCACCAAGCTGGATGCGCGTCACTGGCCTGTGTTAAAGCCAAGAATTTTCCACTTGAAAAAGGAGCATGATCAACATTTTCGCAAAAGTTGTGACTCACCTTTCCACTGTGAGACCAGCCCTACAATCTATAATGCATGAAGGTTTTGTACTGCTGCTTGAGTCACAGAAGTGCTAAAAAACAAGATTCAGATGTGGTGATCCAGATAATCTCGAATAATGTCGAAATCAAAATGCGATGCATAGAGTTTAATACCAAAAGTGAACTAATTTTACACACCTAAATCTTATTCAATATCTTGTATTCCAGGAGCAAACAGCGAATGTATGTTGCATTGAAGAATCTGTTAGAGGAACCACAAAACAACTTGAAAATCTTTAAGGTAAATATGAATTTCTGTAATTAATTCAGATTAAAGTTTGAAAATCTTCCCTCGACTTCCGTTGATAGAATGTTCAGCATTCGAAATGTAACTGTCGCCATGCATACTGATTCACAGTTGGCCTTCTGTTTTAATTCATTCACACCAAGAACGATAACTATATTAGCGTCCACCAGTGGACGATAACATTTTGCAGTTTTGACGTCTACTGCCTTGTATGTTTGATTTTTTTTTTAAGTTGAGTGGATTCTGATTGGCTGTCAGTGTTTTTATCATTCATTCGTTGGAATAAATCGTTCTGAAAGTGATTCCAATAATAACGTTATCGCTTCCCTATTCTAGAATTAGAACAATTATTAAAACATTTATCGTTATACTTATCATCCTTGGTGCGAATGGGCTTTACATTTTTATTTATCCTAGAACATTTCTTTAACTTGGAAGTACTACTATCATAGTATTAAAGGGGTCATATGATGCTGCTAAACTTTTATAAAGAATATCTCTTTGGATTTGAGACTTTAATCTTTGCAACTTTGCAGATCTTCTTTATGCACCAAGAGCTTGTAACACTCCAAAGAGAAAGGAAAAATTTAAATCGCATCATATGACCCCTTTAATAAAAAACAGTTTATAAACTGGTTTACTGGTCTTAACTAGTCTCCTAGCCCATTCAGGCTGCTTTTAGAGGGATTTTGGCTAGTTTTTAGCAGGAAACTAGCTTTGCTGACCAGCTGATCACCAACTTAACCTGGATTTGTGACTAGCTTAAACCACCAAAGACCAGCAAACCAGCTGGGGAAAAAGAAAATCAAATATTCAAACTCTAGCTACTACATATATATTGGTTTAATCCATTAGAAATGGTTGATAAATAGAAAAGTAGCATTAATTTGTTGTTTCTCGCATCTTTTTTTTTTTCAGGGCGGAGAGTTGATATTTAGCTGTAAGGACGATGCCAAGCAGCAACCCGAATTGAACGATCTAATTCAGCACCTTCGGCCTTATTTCCCTCATAGTAACAGCCTCTATAACGGCCACCAGCCTGGCAAAGCTGTCCTGAACGAGTTCATTCAGGTGATCTGCTCCGCTCTGCTCAGCGGCGGGGACTCGAATCGCTCGGGAGAGCCCAGGAAGGTGCACCTGTCTGAGAGCAGGCCGCACTGTGAAGCCAGTCCCTTCCCAAGAGACCTGCTCCGCAACGGTGAGGACTTTACCAGTGACTTTGGATGGCCGTCAGTGGGAAAACATGGTTTTATGTCCTTCAAAATATTGCTAAACAAGTGCAATGGAAATCACTTCACTGATGAGTCACGATATATGCGTAGGAGTGAACTGGAGCAAAAGTGCTTGACACAGTTTAAGAAAATGAACTGCATTTCAAATGACACGTTAAGAGGTGTATAAAAGGTCAGATTATTGCGGCATAGAAATTACGGTAGTCATAAATCTGTTACGCAAGACCAGTAGAACACGTTGAGCTCATTTCCATGTGTTCACAGGTAACCACGGCCTCCCTAAAGACAGTGTCCTCGCAAAAATCCTCCAAGTCCAGATGCTGGATAACCTGGATATTGAAGGAATCTACCCTCTGTACAAACGCGTGGAGCAGTATCTAGAAGAGTTCCCGAGAGAAAGGTGAATTTTTAATCGGGGATATTGAGTGCTACGTTACTAATCTATCAGATCAATACTCCAGTGCAAGAACGTTTTGTTCCTGCTGAGTAAAGTTTATATTGGGCAAATACTTCAGATCTATGCAGTGTTCACATGTACTGAAAGCGTTGTATACAAATTCAGAACAGTTGATGAATCCTAACCATTCACAATTTGTGTTGAATTACTGAAATAAATGAACTTTTCCACGACATTCTAATTTATTGAGATGCACCTGTACTTCATTCTATAATTGTAAGATGTGTTACTTTCCCTGAAAGACTGAACAGACACTAGGTGGTGCAAAAGACACATTTGTGAATATAAGTAGTTCAAGTCAAGTCATGAGGCACTGCGGCCACATGGTGGTCCTGTGCAGCATGGTCGTAAGTGATTTCCATGCAAAGCCACATCATCTTTATGAATAAACTTGCCTAAAGGCACTTTAACATCCATTCAACACTTGTTTGTATCTTCAGAAACCGACTGCAGATAGATGGGCCTTATAATGAGAGTTTCATGGACACGGTGAAAAACTGTCCTACAGAAGATGACGGCTCTGTAGAATATGCTGTTGGGAAGGCAAGACCGTGAACGTGATGCTGAGAAGTTTAAATTTGAATGTATTTTGGTGGCAATTAAGAATCTTTTTTCCCCCCCCAAGAAAGTTAAAGATTAAGATTAACTCTCAGATGTTACCTTCCAGGTTCATCAGTATAGAGTCGCAATGACGGCCAAAGACTGCTCAGTCATGATCACGTTTGCACCTTGTGAGGAAGATGAGGAGTAAGTTAGTTTTCGCCCCTTTAAAATCTCAGGTTGAATTATCTTCCTTGACATTTGCCATCATTTTACTTTTCGTTCGCTTTGTTTCCAGACACCAGTTGAATTTGGAGAAGCCTCGTTTCACGTATTCAGTCTCCATCCTGGATCTGGACCCCAAACCGTATGAAGGCATCCCTCACCAGTACAAGCTGGACACAAAAATCGTCAACTACTACCTGCGGAGCACGCAAGCTCCGCCCCCCTCCAGCCTATATAAGGAAAGGCAGGACTGCACGCTGCTCTTCCATGCTGTATGAGACACCTCTACAAGTGCTGCTTGGGAAATGCCTAGAAGTGAAGCTGAAATAGTGATATCATTTTGTTCTTTCTGTTTGCTAGTCTGTCTAGTTGTTTGCCCTCCCGTGAACTTGCCGTTCGCAGTTGTTGCCAGAGCGACCTGATGTTTTTCTTTTTGAGGGTGATGTTCTCATTGGGGCTGGTCTCCTAAAGCACAGAATACCTGAACGAGTCAGTCATTGGCTGTAAAAAGGGAGGACATGGAGGGTGTGTGTGTGTGTGTTTTTGTGCAGTGCTGTTGGGTGTTTCTCGCACGCAGCAGCGCTACTGTGGTTTCCAAGTGCCAAAAGTGGCTTACAGCGATTTTCCCCAGTGAACGTTTTACCGTGCATCAGCTTGGCCGTGGCTGCAGTCGCTGTACAGGCAGTTTGGAATTCAAAAACAGACAAGTACTTGAGTTTTTAGCGCGGCTTCATCCCTAGAGCTCCTCAAACCTCTGACCCTCGGTGAGCTACAGTAGCGGGAGTTATACTGACAAGCACAGACCTGTTGCATGCTAGCGAATGAGGTCGCGATAACACCGTCACTACCCGTAAGATAGATTTGATAAATTAGAAGATAAGCCTAATGATATTACTCGCTATTGAAATTGTATTTTTGTAACGTACGCTCGGCTGGCGTAACCGCTGTATACAAATCGAAGTGTCTTATTAAAAAGTAGTTCACAATTATATAAAAAAAAAAGTCCATCATTTACTAACCCTCATTTCATCGCAAACCCGTTTGATAGAATCGTTACGCAGCTCGTCAGTTCATTCTGACCAGGTATTGTGAAAGAACGACTAAAAATAACGACTGAAATTTGTTTGACTTTAGAAAACATGAAATACAGTGCACAAGTCCTATGGTGCTTTATTTGGAGCTTTACAGCCTTTGGTCACAACGGTTGTTGTATGGCAAAAGTTACGTAACGATTCTTCAAAAGTTTGGAAAAACATTTGGAAAACATTAGTACAGACATGATGGTGTGTAAATTTTTGGTTGAACTACTACTTTAAAGCTAGTCCATCATCTCAAAAATAAAACACCGTTTTTCCTAGAAAAACTGCTGTAAAATGAAAAATCGTCTGTGTCTGTCCATCATCGATGGCTTTGTCTCTGAGTTTGACACTGATATGCTTAGTTGTCATCTGTTTTGAAATCTCAGAGCAGAAAACAACCAGAGGAATCCATCCCCAGCAGCTTGAACGCTACTACGGTTACGTTTGGCTTTTGTTTTAATGGCCGTAATTGGTTGCAGAGCCAGACATATTTCATAAGTCGACCAAAGATGGACAGCACGCCAGTTTTTTTTAGCACAATAAAAAGGATGATCCAGTAGTTTTTCCAACAGTTTTTTTTTTTTTATTTTTTTTTTCAGAGAAGCAGTATAGGCCACAGAAATGGTAGTGTTGATTTAATGTTACATGAGTTGCGAGTTTGGCGTCTTTGATCGTAAAAACAACCACAGTAAGACGGTTTGCGCAGATTTTACGGTGTAACTAACACTAAAGATGGCACCTCATGGTCGCCTTTCTCTGTTATGGGGAATATAACTGTTACAATGTACTGTGGCGTGAGTGATGCTCACGCTTCTGTTTACCTCTTTTAGCGTGATGCAAACTGCTTCGGCTTGCTTAACTCAAAGTCGTCAATGCAGTTCCCATCAGGCGAACAGTGTTTGCATTTTTCATGGATGAACATTCAACATTGCCAAACTGTGTTCACACTCCCCTTTGTCTTAATGTGAACTGGTGTCAAGAGAAGTATTAATACGCCTTACCTGTGAGCGAAAACGCTTTCGTTGTCGAACTGATGGCGTTTGTTTGACTGTCATGTTTTGATGTGTTATGAAGTAACTGATTGAAAAGTGCAGTTTCTCCACAACAGACATTGCTGTATTTGCCTTTGTTTTAACAACATCTTTCCCCTTTTGAACCAGAGATATTATGAGTCTGAGGTGGTGACATTGTGTTATTCTAATGAAATAAAGATCTATAATCACTATGTAGGTAGGAATGGACATTAATTCTGTTATTAAGCAAGAAAAGAAAGGAAGATCACAATTTCTGTGATGGAATCTAATGTTAAAATGTAACTATTTGAAAATACAAAGTGGATTTTGCTGTCAAACATTTTGTATTTAAAATTATTTATTTTTTTAGCTCTTGTCTAATGATGTATATTTCCATACAGTGTGGGCATATCATACGTAAAAATGATTGACACGTACAGGTGGCAACAATATGTAGTTCCTAACGGGTGATTGTACAGGTGTTTATATCGAATAAACGATTAGATATGAAGCTCCCACAGCGTGAACTTTGGCTTAATTTTTGACTTCTCACAAACACACAGTTCTTATCAAGCCCTCGATAGATGCTTCCACCCCAAGAACCCGCAGGAGGCTCTGAAAATAATCCGAGCCATTTTCCATCACTTTTTTGGTGTCAAACTCCCGAGCTGAAAACAAAATAAAACATTTTAGATCATTGTACCACATTCTAAGTCACTATTATGAATTGTACAAGTGTAAAATAATAAAATACTTGATTCTGATTGGTCAATTTTGTATTACAACCACAAAATTTAATATTTTACGGAAGAATTTTACGGATTATTTTTCATTCTTGTTTTCTCGTGATCATGACTTAATTTTCTTGTGATCGACATAATAGCTGTTTTCATGATTATGACTTAATTTTCTAGTGAACTCAACATAACGAAAGTTTTCTCGTAATCCCAATTTTTTTTTTTTAAGTTTTCTCATTATCTCGACATAATAGCTTTTTTCTCGTGATCACATAACGTGTTGACATAAAAGTTTTCTCAATCACAACTTAATTTTCTCGTGATCTTGACAGCGAAAGTTGTTTTCTCGTCACAACTTAATTTTCCCGTGATTTTGACGTAACGAAAGTTTTCTCGTCACAACTTAATTTTCCCGTGATCTTGACATAACGAAAGTTTTCTCGTCACAATTTAATTTGCTCGTGATCTTGACATAACGAAAGTTTTCTCGTCACAATTTAATTTGCTCGTGATCTTGACATAACGAAAGTTTTCTCGTCACAATTTAATTTGCTCGTGATCTTGACATAACGAAAGTTTTCTCGTCACAATTTAATTTGCTCGTGATCTTGACATAACGAAAGTTTTCTCGTCACAATTTAATTTGCTCGTGATCTTGACATAACGAAAGTTTTCTCGTCACAATTTAATTTGCTCGTGATCTTGACATAACGAAAGTTTTCTCGTCACAATTTAATTTGCTCGTGATCTTGACATAACGAAAGTTTTCTCGTCACAATTTAATTTGCTCGTGATCTTGACATAACGAAAGTTTTCTCGTCACAATTTAATTTGCTCGTGATCTTGACATAACGAAAGTTTTCTCGTCACAATTTAATTTGCTCGTGATCTTGACATAACGAAAGTTTTCTCGTCACAATTTAATTTGCTCGTGATCTTGACATAACGAAAGTTTTCTCGTCACAATTTAATTTGCTCGTGATCTTGACATAACGAAAGTTTTCTCGTCACAACTTAATTTTCCCATGATCTTGACATAACAAAATTTGTTTCCTCGTCACAACTTAATTTTCACGTGATCTTGACATAACGAAAGTTGTTTTCTTGTCACAACTTAATTTTCTCGTGATCTTGACGTAACGAAAGTTTTCTCGTCACAACTTAATTTTCCCGTGATCTTGACATAACGAAAGTTGTTTTCGTCACAACCTAATTTTCCCGTGATCTTGACATAACGAAAGTTATTTTCTCGTCACAACTTAATTTTCCCATGATCTTGACATAACGAAAGTTGTTTTCTCGTCACAACTTAATTTTCTCGTGATCTTGACATAACGAAAGTTGTTTTCTCGTCACAACTTTATTTTCCCGTGATCTTGACATAACGAAAGTTTTCTCGTCACAACCTAATTTTCCCGTGATCTTGACATAACGAAAGTTGTTTTCTCGTCACAACTTAATTTTCCCGTGATCCTGACATAACGAAAGTTGTTTTCTCGTCACAACTTAATTTACCCGTGATCTTGATATAACGAAAGTTTTTTCTCGTCACAACTTAATTTTATCATGATCTTGACATAACGAAAGTTGTTTTCTCGTCACAACCTAATTTTCCCGTGATCTTGATATAACGAAAGTTGTTTTCTCGTCACAACTTAATTTTCCCGTGATCTTGACATAACGAAAGTTGTTTTCTCGTCACAACTTAATTTTCCCATGATCTTGACATAACGAAAGTTTTTTCTCGTCACAACTTAATTTTATCGTGATCTTGACATAACGAAAGTTGTTTTCTTGTCACAACTGAATTTTCCCGTGATCTTGATATAGCGAAAGTTGTTTTCTCGTCACAACGTAATTTTCCCGTGATCTTGACATAACGAAAGTTGTTTTCTCATCACAACTTAATTTTCCCATGATCTTGATATAACGAAAGTTGTTTTCTCGTCACAACTTAATTTTCCCGTGATCTTGACATAACGAAAGTTATTTTCTCGTCACAACTTAATTTTCCCATGATCTTGATATAACGAAAGTTGTTTTCTCGTCACAACATAATTTTCCCGTGATCTTGACATAACGAAAGTTTTCTCATCACAACTTAATTTTCCCGTGATCTTGACATAACGAAATTTGTTTTCTCGTCACAACATAATTTTTTCGTGATCTTGACATAACGAAAGTTTTCAGCCTTTTTTATATTCTCATCATCTCAAATTAACAAATGTTGTTTTCTCATTATCACGACTTAACTTTCGGAATTGTTTTGTGATATCAACATAACGAAAGTTATCTTGTGATCATGATTTAATTTTCTTGTGATCTCGACAAAGTTATACCCCATCAGTTATATTTACTGCCACCTAGTGCTTCAGTTGTGTAACTTTCAGATAATAACTTGTTAGAGATCAGGAGAAAACAAAAAAGAAAAAATAATTCCATGGCCTCTTAGGACTTCCATGATATTTAAACCGTTCCCATGACTATTTTCTGGTTTCTTTTTTATTCCACCAATGCAAGATAGAGTAGCTAATTGATGGCATCATGCTAATCAAAAAATGGCTAGTTTATGAGTCTAGTAAAAATGGCCTTTGAAGACTTTTAATCTATCTAATAAGCAGGATAAGCTGGTTAACCCTGATGCAATATTATCCCTTACATAATGTATTTTTCACTCATCACCCAGTTAATCTTACCCTGGTCTGGCATTTTCAGCAGGAGCTCAAGCGATGGCTTTACCACTCCTTCCATGGACACATCGATCTTCCAGAATATGGTCATGGAGATCCTGAGAGACATACAGCCATTGACTCTTTCTATATTTCAAGCATGTAATCTGGATATATCAGTCGTGGCCACCATAGAAAGATACAGGAACTTGCAGTCACTTGACATAATATATGTTTCATGTGCCATCAACAGATGGAAAACAGCAGAAGTTATGTACCGCGGTTTCCATTTCACTTTCTTAGCTGATGCAACCTACCCTGGAAGTTGAGGACTTCTTATAATCATGAGCTCGGATCGACATCCCTCTGGAAGGCTGACCACGTCTGGGTACTTCTCCTGCCAAACAAACCACTTGTTTGTTAAAGGGATCAAAATCCCGACAGATTCCATCTGACCCACAGCAACCTGGTTCCAAAACACCGGCCGATAACGAAACACATACGAACAAAATATGTGGAGAAATTTACATATTAGAGATTTGCATAATTGTAAGTGGAATTTGCTCCATAACAAGGCAAGAATACACTGAAGTCACAGTCTGAGACTGTCTGCACAGAGCTTTGATATCTTACAGGAATAAATGACTCAAAAACGTTATGATTTATTCCCCTCCATGTCAAGGGTTTTGACTTTCTTTCTTGTGACACAAAATTAGAATTTTTCAAGAACGTCCTAGCAACTACATAATGAAATATTCAAATACAGTCAAAGTGAACGAGGACAAGGGCTTTTAGTCTCCAAAATCACCAAAAAGCAACATAAAGCTCTCAAAATCGGTACATACTCTTTGACGAATTGCTTTTGTTCCTCTTTCATAAATGGCCATGGATAAAAGCGTCTGCGAAATGCATACATGTACATTCAAAAGTCTTCTGAAGTAATATGATACTTTTATGTAAGAAACAGACCCCCAAATTCATTATTCATTGATCATTTTTCACTGCAGTGAGCTGTTAACTGTTGTGACTGAATCATTAAGGCAGTAACTTGAAAACTGGATCAACCTAATTCATTAATGGATCATTCAGATCAGTTTCGTAAATTAGATCAACTGATGCACTGAATAGATCTAACTCAATTATACTGAAAAAGAATCCAGAATATTCCACAGAAATTGTAGGTGAACTATTCCTTTAATACACCAAGTGTTTTTTAATAATTAGTTGAGTTGAAGACCTTTAACAGTCATGCCTTCAGGACTCTAAACCACAGAAGAGAAGATTGAATACACAGAACCATTTAATACTGACAGTAAATAATAAAATAAAAGAAGAAAAATGTTTCCATCTCTCTGTCTTTTGCAGAAACCACTAAATACGGTTAGAAATTATACCCTTACTTACCCCGTCCCTTAATTACATATTAAAACATGTACAAATACTCAGTATGTTTTAATAAGTAATTACGACATCTAATTAAACTGCTCTTAAATTTAACTCCTCATTTGTCTGCATTTCAACTAGGCAATTAAAAACATATGATAATTGACACCATGTTCCCACAATCAACCAACAAAGACATCACAAATCCCTTAGACAAACCCATCAGACTTTCCCATTGGACATCAGAACTTTCCAGAATCTTTTCCCAATTTCCACATTACACCGTTGGGAAATGCTGTCAGTTACACCATTAACTTGATGTTTCCTCTGGTAAACACTGAGACTTTCTCTAAAAGAATATCTCGAAATGTTCCTTACGGCCTTGTGAAGACTAAACACTGTTATGTTCTTAGAGCGAGACATTTACATTTTTGCAAATGTTTATTTTTACACGTACACATTGATTCAGGTCAATCAATGAGTTATGTAATTAGTATTTAGTCACAATGACTGTACTCTTTCCAGTTTAATTCTTGCACACTTTTGGCACAGATTAAATTCATTTTGTTCAAATATGTAGTTATAAATTGGCTCTTATGCAAAACTTTTTGTTGTTGTTGGTTGGATGCTTTTACAAATCTTCTTCTGTACAAACAAATATTTTTGCTTACTTTTTACATGAAAGATTTCGAATCTGTTTGGGAAAACTAGCATATAATTAA